GTGCAAAACTCGAGGTCCCTTCAACACAGAGGGACAGCACATGGGCAGCACGTGTTCTCAGCATGGGAGCCCCAGAGAAGGGGGCTGGGGCTGGGGATTTAGCTCAGTGGCACAGCACCTGCCTGGCGAGTGCGAGGTCGTGAGTTCGATTCCCGGTACTGGAAAAAAAAAAAAAAAGAGGCCAGCCCAAAAAAGGAGATAACTCCACTGGGTTTCCCCTCACCAGGGAGGAACAAAGAGGACCTAGTTGGGAGCTAGGGCAGTGGAGAGGGACATCCTAGAAAGCCAGTGGTACCTTCCTGATGAGAGTATTCACAGGGCCTCATTCTCTGTCCCCCAGTTTCCAGCAACCTGCTCTCCAGCTGACTGGCTTACCTGTGATCCCTGACCTCAGTCATCATGCCCCGGGGACACAAGAGCAAGGTGCGCGCTCAAGAGAAACGCCGCCAGGCCCAAAGTGAGACCCAGTTTGTCCAAGATGCTCCGGCTGCAGGGGCACAGGGCGGGGAGGCCCCCTCCTGCTCTGCTCTCTCTGCAGGTGCTGCTGCCAGTTCCTCTGTGGCTGGCCTTCCCCAGAAGTCACAAGGAGCTGCACCTACTAGTAGTTCTGCTGGAGCTGCTACACCCAAAAAGTCTGGTAAAGGTGCCAAGAGCAAGAGAAAGGAATGGACAACTTTCCCTATGCCCACAATTCCCACCGAGAGCTCAGAAAAAGAGCTCCTAATGAGGAAGTCAGGAATGTTGATGCATTACCTGCTGTACAAGTATCAAATGAAGGAAAAGGTAATGAGGGGTGAAATGCTGACGATTCTCAACAGAAAGTTACGACAACGATTCTCTGAGATCCTACAGTTAACCTCTGAGTGGGCAGACCTGCTTTTTGGCCTTGAGCTGAAGGAAGTCAAGCCTGGTGGTGGTTCGTACACCCTTATCAAAAAGTTCAGTGACTCCAAATATGGGAGACCTGTCAGTGGTTTGGACATCCCCATGAATGGGCTTCTGATGCCTCTCCTTGGGGCTATCTTCTTAAAAGGGAGGTCTGCTTCTGAAGAAGAAATCTGGGAATTCTTGAACATGATGGGGATCTATGATGCAAAGCAGCACATAATCTTCGGTGAGCCACGCAAGTTCATCACCAAAGATCTGGTGCAGAAAAAGTTTCTGGTCTACCGCCAAGTGCTTCACAGTGATCCTCCACGCTATGAATTTCTGTGGGGCCCAAGAGCACATGCTGAGATAAGCAAGATGAAAGTCCTGGAGTTTTTGGCCAAGGTTAATGAAACTGTCCCTACTGCCTTCCCGATCCATTATGCAGAGGCTTTGAGAGATAAGCAACAGAGGGCCCAAGCCAAAGCTGCAGCCAGCAATGGAACTGCTGCTCAGTCTATTCCAGGTCCCAGGGGAACCTCCACCACCTAAACCCCCATATGAGATGGGAGGCTGAATCTTCCTTTTGCTTCAGTAAAAGCCTTTTTAGCTTATATCTAGTTAGAGGTTAACATGGGGCTAGAGAAGTCATTATGTATTCCTGTGTGCATCTGTCACATTGGCATCTGTTAAATAAATTCTTCGACTGGCACATTAGTTCATATTGAGAACCCATGCTTATGAGTAACATAGATCACACTTGCACTGTTGGTATTGAATGCAAATATCGTAGTCTTCCTCTCCTTTAATTCTCTTTAACAGTCTTTGAATATGCCTTGTGTTCAGAGTGAAACCATGACTTTGAAAGCAAGACATAACTTAGAAATGTGTAAGTCCCCCACCAAATGTAATTAATGTCTTCAAATAGAGTAAATCAAAGCAATGCATTGTCAACTCTGCTTGGCCTTATTTTTTTCTATCTTTCTCTCTAACATTTGAAGACATATATCTGGTAACTTTAAATGATTGAAAAATTCAGATAAAATTAAATAATAATGCTTCATATCCCTTGCTCAGTGGCTCTACTTTTTAAATCTTTAATCGGGTATCCTCTCTTTGGAAGGGTCTATGTTTGTAGAAACGAAGCTAAGATGAAAAGGACTCTTCTGCTCTTAGATGTTTTGAGTCTGACAGGAATCGGTGAAGTTGATGGTTCCACCCTGATACAGAACAAATAAGAAAGAAGTCAGGGTGTGGGAGGGCGATGTGGATGAGAGCAGTCAGGTGTGGATTTCCTGAGGTAAGTCACTTTGTGATTTTGGGCCCTGCATTCCCTTCTTGGGTGAGCGATTTAAGTGAGAACAGAAGAAGCACAGCAGCCCTTTCCCGGGCCACTTGCACAGAGTGCATAAACTAGTGTATTTTTCTTAATTGAAAGATAAAAGAACAAAAACATACTAACAGACACACAGCCAATTACAAAATCACACAAAAACAATGCTAGCAGTACAGAATTTCAGACAAGGTAATAGGAAATTAATGAAGATTTTTGAATTACATATTGATATCTTCAAAGTGGTTACTCAGGTAAAAAAATAGACATGTAAGATTGATCAAAGAGTTAAACATTAACTGTTCCTTTCAATGAAGCAATATAAACCAGTAGTACAACTATGTTAGCTATCCTGTGTATACATATATACATATTTTTCCCTTCTTTCTTTCTTATGAACTAGTGCTTTTACAGTTCAGAGTGTTTCTGAAAATCAGGATTGGGTTCCAGACAAGACTTCTTCATTTAGTGAGGAGCATCGAGGAAAATGGGGGCGATATCAATTTTCCTTGTCCATACAGGAGAAATGTAGGGAAGGAGCCCCCAGACCCAGAGCAGTTCACAGGTTTCTGGTTGCAGTGTCAGCATTAAGGAAAGCAGAAGCCAGAAGTAGATAGAGCAGAAAATGATGTGGAAGTACAGGAAAAACTGTATGAGTAAGTTTGGGAAACATCTGAATAATCATCATTGAAGTTGTTGGGAAATCTGATTTGGAATACATATTACAGGAAGGGAACTGAGGCAAGCCAGACAGTCATCCTGGCTTAGAATTTCCCCTTGCTTTTGTAAGGGAAAACATAACTAGGTCACTTGTGCCAACTAGTTATACTGACGGGTTCTGCAAAAACACATGTCTTGACTACACCAAAAGTCCAGTGAATGCTTGCCAGCCATCAGAACTCAACATCACATTGCTGTCTCCTGGAGATGGGGATGTCTTTCCTGGAAACAGCGGACTTTCCCCACTGAGCTTAGGACTATGAGAGTGGGTAAAGTCATTCACAGATGCAATGCAGTCACAAACGATGACATTTGAGGCTGACCGGGAGCACCAGCGAGCCGTGAAAGAGATGTGAGCTACAAGGATGGGAAAATTAGACAAGAGAAAGACTGGTGCTAATTCCTTCAGTAATTCTGTGGATAAAAGTGCAGTGGTTATTAAGCACTTCAATGCAGCTTTTCAGAAGTGAAGCATAGTGTAAGTATAAAGTACATTTTCTATTTCAGTACATTATGCAAAAACGTTAGGCATCTACAAGTTCTCATAAATAAAATGTATGAGAAAATTTCTTATCATGTGTTACTTCTTTATAATGTGATTAGTAAAATATCTAAGACTACTTATGTAGCTCACACTACATTTCTGGTGGTGATGATGGTATAGGTCTTGTTTCTTCAGTAAATTTTAGGGTAGTGTATTTTAACCAAAAGTGTACCATAGTTTTTCAGTCATACTTATCAAGACATTTCTAGCAGTAATAAAGAGTCAGTAGATAAGTGAATTCTAAGTCAGGCTCATTAGCCCAACAGGATAAGCGGCTGGAAGACTGCTAAGGCCCCCTCCTGATCTTATTCTACATCTTTTAATTACTCACATTATCCACTAAGCAGTAACGTTCCAAGATACAGAAAGTTCACCGTGTGTGAATGAATAATTTAATTAAGAATGGTAGGACTTTTATATGGACAATAAAATTTATAAATATTTGTGTTTTGTCTTTTATTTATTTCTTTTTTATTTTCTTTTCAAAAGTTTTTTTTTGTTATTACTCGTATGTAATACATAATGTTTACATTCCTTGTGGGAAATTGGTACATGTATGTAGTATACATGAATATTTTTCTTTTTTCTTTTCCCCTTCCCTCTCTCCCCTTTCCATGCATCCCTTGAACTCTTCCTTTACTTCATACATGTTTGCAGTGCAGAATATTTTCATTCCTTGTGTGGAGTTGCTCCCTGAACATAACACATCCCAATACATTTTCTCATTCTGTATAGCTCCCCTCCTTCCCACATCTCTCTATCTCTTAGTGCCCTTCCCATTGAGAAGAACTAAATATTATGAAGTGGACAAACTTACCAAAAACAGGTGAAATAAATACAATTTCTTGCACATAAAATATAAAATATTTATGAATAGTATATCTATCACTAGTGAAAGGATGAAGCGATATTGTCACCATGTATAAAGAACTTTTAAACCAGGCGTGGTGGCGCATGCCTGTAATCCTAGCACTCAGGAGACTGAGGCAAGAGGATTGTTGCAAGTTCGAGGGTAGCCTGGGCTACAAAGTGAGCTCAAGACCAGCCGGAACTGCATAGGGAGACCCTGTCTCAAAAAACAAAACAAAACAAAACAAAACAAAACAAAACAAAACAAAACAAAACAAAACAAAACTTTAAAAAAGTATCCATACCAGTTTTCAGGCAATTCAACTTCTAGAAATTTAGGTAAAGGTATTAAGAGATACCCATGTGTTTCATTTATAAGGATGTGTGTGCTGGCCAGGCATGAATCAAAGCCAAGGCTGAGGGAAAATCATACCAAGTAGGGATCCGCTGCTGACGGACACATCTGTGGAGGTGTGGAGACCACTCCTTTGGAAACAGTAATAACTAGGAGACACACTGAAAGTGCCATAAATCCTGCTTGGTCAGGACAGATAACTATGACTTTAATCTGGATATAAATGTTGATGATGTTCAATTTCTTGGGATAAGGTGGTAACATTAGGAAAATGTAGATGGTATGTGTAAAAGATGAATTTATACTGACAAATATATCAGCACATAGATAGATTTAAGTTTCAAAGAATGAAATACACTACGATAGCATGATTTAATAACTCAAGTTCTTCACCTTTCCCTGCATCTCTGTTCTTGTTATAGCCACATCACTAGCAGACTGTACTGCCCCATTTATTACCTTCGAGCTCAGTACCGTGCCTTGGCTTTGGCCAGGTATTACTTAAGCAAAGGCTTGCAATGTGATTGTACATAGAGTTGTACGTGAACTTCTCCTAATACGATTAGTAAAGGTTCCAAGCAGTCTTGTGGTCTGAGTCAACTTACTGTGTGAAGCAGAAGCTCCCCAGCCATTCTATACACAGTGACAACAAAAGCTTGGGTATTAAGGTGCTGAGTTCTGTAGCTGTTCACAGAACAGCTGTAGGCAGCAGAAGTCAGCTAATAAGTTCAGTGAAGTCTAGCAGTGGTTGTAAGAAATTCATATCTTAGATTTTTATGCTCTTATTCATTTTCCACAATATGTGCATATTCTGAAATGTATTTTAAATCAAAAATGCTAAAAGCCATACAGCATTTCAATTGTAGATATTGTATAATTCATAAATGGGAAAATAAGATATAATTCAAAAAATAATTTAATTGCTCCTTATCTTCTCATAAAACATAGAAAAATCAAGCTTCTGATTACCTCAGTCATGTTGGCATACTATTGTTTGAAGAATTCATCCTTTACAAATCTCATGTTAAAGTTTAATCCCCATTGTGAGGCTCATAGGAGACTGGAAATTTAAGCAAATGTAGTGTTTAAAAGTGGGCTTGTTGTAGATAAAATATGATTAGATAAAGTTATCAAGATGAAATCCTCATGACTGTGTTCAGGTGGTAATATAAGGAAAGAGAGTGGAAGCCAGACCCCCCACACACACATATTCACACACACACACACACACACACACACACACAAACTCTCATGCTCCGTGTCTCTGGCCATGTGGTGCCTGTGTTGCTACAGGATGCTACCAGCAAGAAGGCCATCACCACATGTGGGCCCTGGAATGTTAATTACAAACATAAGCCAAAATACAACTCTTAATTTTACAAATCACCCAGTCTACAGTATTGTTTTATTATCAACAGCAAACAACTGAAATGCAAGTTAAAATATATCAGTGTTTAAATCCCTGACAGTTCACTGTTCTTTCTTTTGTTCATAGAACATGTTTTTCTCATACTGCCTAGTAAGCAAATGCAGTACTACATGCAAGGGTTGCAGAAGCAGACACTTGATATTTAGATCCAAACTCTACTATTTCCTACTCATATGATTTTTGGTGAATTAATTAACTTTACTATGTCTCTTTTTTCACCAATAATATTGGCACAATAGTAGTCTCTAAGTTTCAATAATATTGAGAATGAAATGTGAGTCATTCAAAAGTATTCTTATGAATTTATAAGCATTACATATACAATAACTATTAGTTTATAATCAAAAATTTTTGCTACCTTTTCATTTTGAATGTTGAGGCATTAACTAACCTTTTATAGAGCCAGTGTACTCCTATAATCCCAGCATTCTGAGGCTAAGGCAGCAGGATTGGTGTAAATTCAACACCACCCTGGGCTACATAGTGAGTTCAAGGCCAGCCTGATTA